TAAGGCCTCCAAACCTCTGCTTATTTAAATTTCACTATCATACATGACAGATGGGAAATCGGAAATGATTCACAATCCATATAATTCTAAAATCAGAGAATAATTGTCTCAGTGATAAAACTCATCAATTAAATATGTTGTGAATAGAGAAAGCAAATTTGGATAATTTGACTCAGAGAACAGCATAGGTCCACATACTGATATTTAGTCATGTTCCCAGGACATGGCTTTAAAATGGAAAAGTCCAGTTGTTTCCGAAGCCCATTAGGGAATTTGACACTTTACACAATGCCATGTTGAACCATCTTATAAAATACTAATCATTCCAGAGTACATCCTTGGATTTGAATTATGTGGTGGGTTTGGTTTTAGACAATTTGACAAACACTAACATAGCCAGCTCCGAATTGTAGAACAAACTCCTCCCTTCATTTTCTATCTGAAAGATATGAAAACTAGAAAATAGTGCATATAGCATTTCCAAAGGACTCAGACAGGTAGAGTTATTCCGTGAAATTGTTTTGGGTTTCAACTTGGTTTTCATGCTTTTGCAAAACGATATTAACAGATACTAATGAAACATATAAACCCAGATTCACAATGGCTATGCTAATCCAATTTTCAGTTTGCTGCCGTTAATATAAATGCCAGCTCATAGATTGTAATGCACTTACCACCCCAGCGCTCATCGCACACTGTAAAGAGAGTAGTTTTATTGGCTAAGCCGGGTAGCATGGTGCTGCACTCCATGACAATGGCTTGAGGAATCATTATGATGCAGGAGACAATCCAGATGATGACGATGCTGTTCCGCGCCCTCTTGGCTGTGCTCTTAAACATCAAAGGGTGACAGATCGCGTACCATCGATCCAAGGCAATACAGCTCAATGTGAGGACAGACACAGACACCGATACAGTCTATGAGAAAAAAGAGAACATACTAATAGAGAGGCACGTGGTGTTGAAAGAATTATTCAATATAGTTACATATGAGAAAGGCAGTCACAACAGATAAATTCGAAGTTGCAAAAAAAAAAAAAAAGACCCATGTAAATATTTTTTATTTCAAAAAATTTTGTTAAAAAGAAAAAAATGCTAAAAATATATTTTAAAAAACGAATATTAAACATGAAAGAGATGCAATGAAAATTTTTCACTCTTTTTCATGCAAATGTTTTAATTTATAATATGGCATTCTTTGAATAATTATTTATCAGTATTTTGTCTTGCAGCTTTTCCATTGATAGGAGAAATCATATCCTCAAATGGAAGAAAAAAAACACATAGTTTAGTTCGATAATGGCAATCAATTCATATAAGTTCACTCGAAAGACTGACATACAGTGCCAACTGTGGCGTAGTGTTCAGTGCCCTCTCTGTTACATAGCAAAGTGAGAGAATACGCTGGTGTGATTAATCTAACAGAAGAATCGACTGTTCCATTGAATGGATCCTTGACAATTAACGATTTAATATTCTCTGTTTCCACTGCTTTTACTTGTGCATAAGACACGTTAGTATACAATTAACATGCTATTTATGAGATTTTCTTTTGGGGGATATAAAATTGTATCTTACCCAAAGTGATTATAAATGAGAGTTTTGTTACTGCTTTTCACTTCTAAGAGTGTACTTCTGGGTGCATTTTTCATTTAGATTCTGACATTAGCTGATATCAATCTGATAGTAAGTCATTTGAGAAATTAATCTAGTGTGAATTATGAATGTCATAAATGAAATGGAGTGAGATGATGAGAACTTTCTTTTGCCTTCAGGCACTTGGCCTTTTGCCTATATTGTGGTCATCCTATGCACAGGTTAATATTTGGGAATTTCCTTTGGTAGAGAAGGAGCCTATTTTATACTGTCATATAGATATGCCAAAAAGATTTTAAATTTCCATGACAAATAGAAGTAGAAATTTTGCCAAATCACAGATTTGAATGATAGGCACTAACAGATTAAAAGGTGGGAAGGTATGACTGAGAGAGTGAGGGAGCTTATCTAACCACCCAGCACCCACCACCTACCACCCATGTCTCACTGGGCTTTTGTTCTTTTCTTGGCATTTCCTTTGCAGGGATATTTTTTTTAAATCACTCTTAAAAGGAGCCACTGCTCCTGTCATTGTTAAAAGAGAAGTGGAATATATGATAATTATTCAGCAAATAACCTAATAAATGTTACTGGTCTTGGAATTATAGAATTATTAAAGATACAACAGGGTCATTTTAATTATTCAGCTAAGTTTTATTACGTTTGTGAGATTTTAAAGATTTTTGAGCATTTGCCAAAGTGTTACAGTCTATCATCCATAAATCAAAAGGTTGTATTGTATTTGGAAGAAAAAGACTATATAAGTCATAGCAAATTAGTAAATGCCCAAAGAATCTTAAATGCAATCAAATAACCTTAAAATATGGTTGGCCATTACATCGTATGTTTTAATATTCAGAAAGACATAAATACCATATCAAGAATAAAAGTTATTAGTTTCAGAAGATCATAACTAGGGGGCAAAACTACTCACATTTAAATGACAGGCTTATTCCCATTGGCATTTGGGAAAATTTTATGAAAAAGAGGCAATAAGTACTGAGAATTTGGAGACACTAGTTTTACCAGTGCATCAATCTCTTTGTGCATTTACACCTTTCTATTAAGAAGCAATGTTGAATGAAGTAATGAGTAGATCTAGTCTTTTCTATCTTGTGGTTCCTCAGTTGTTTCCTCGTTGCCTGATGGAGACTAAGATCAACTGAGGAATTGATTAGACTGGACACTGTTTACAGAGAAGCAGACAGAATCTGTCAGGAGAAGAGGATGTTCCTTGAACTATAGACTTGTCAATATGTTGTCTGTGTGAAAGAGCACTGTCGATGACTTAAAAGAGACGCAGGCCCTGCATCACTCACTGGTTGCATGCTGCTTCCAGTCTGTCCCTGAGTGCTCATAGGAGACTCTAAGTACCTGCTGTTCAGAAAGCTATCACTGTGCATTAGAACCTGACTGCGCCCGCCACAAGGTGCTGCACCACTCTCCTACCACCCCCCTCCCCACCTGGAATCGTCTGGTTCATAGAGACAGCATGGAATGTTCTCAGCCAGTTAAAGATTCTTGGCAACTAGAACCATTCTGCAACTTAAGAGAATCCTAAAAATATTTTCCTGAGCAATTATTAAAACCAAAAGAAATCGAAAGCTTGCTGGAATTACCACAAAGATGGTGAAATATTGAATTCTCTCCTATTTATTACTTTCCCAGTGCCTCTATGCAAACACCACCAGAGCCATGCATTTCTTACTGATTTTTGTACTCTAAGGATATTTTCCTCTGTTTTTCCATGTGTTATGTGCTATTTCTTTCAAAAAATTTTGCTACAGTTCGTTTTTGTAATCCGTTCATGGTTTTCAGCAGGCTGACCTAACCCCATCTTAAAATCAAACATAATATATACATGGAGCTTATAACTTCCTGTGGTATTTTCCACTTACTACTCTGTAATGTCTGACCTTAAAAAATGATCACCTCTCTTTATAAAAGTCATCGAAGATTGCGCTAAAGATCCCTTTGTAACATTTCAGTTCCAAAAGCCTTCTCAATAGTTCTATAATTTCTAGTAATGGGCTATTTGTGGCCTCCTACACATTTTTGTTATCAGAAACCTATTTTCTGTTCCTCCAAATATTGTGATCACCTTCTAGGAGACTGGATGGAAGAAGGACGGGGGGTGGAGGAAGACTATGGAAAGACAAGAAAAGGATGGCCACAATTTTATTCACTGTCCAATTCCCAAGGGGATTTCATCTCTTTGGGTAGACAGCTGGGGCCATTATCTTGGGAATCTTTTTTCCTTAATATTTTAGAACTGTAAGAACAATCAGAAAATTATTCTTTGAAAGTATGAGAGCAGTCCAGAGAGTATCCAGCCATGTAATATGAAAATTACATATTAACAATGACTGGATACTTCCTGGACAGCCCTCATATATTTGTTCTTAATTACTTGTATGACAATTAAATATGGAAAAGCTGCTTTCACTATTGAGCAATCAAACATTTAATAATGATGATACTGATGCTGATAGCTGGTGTTTATTGAGGGCAAACTACGTTTTTATAAGATCGTCATCTTCCAGAGGGTAATTACTATGCCAAGTGATTTATATAAATTATCTAAGAAAACTGTCACAACAATCATATGAGACAGACCTCATTAAAATTACTATCCTTTTTAGACAAGTGAATCACAAGGAGTTTATGCATTTAGGGTATAGTCAGTAAATGGCAAAACAGAGATTCCAAACCTGGTAGTTGATTTAGAACCTACACTAAAACCTGTTCTCTGTACTGCTTTGATCAAGTAGCTCTTAATTCCTCAGTATGAAATGAAACTACTTCTAAAAACAGATACCCTCGATGATTTGGACTAAGAGAGGCTTAATCATTAATTGGTTTTAGTTTCTTATTTAACAATGGGGAAATTAGGGAACCAAAGAAGTAAAATGTTTGTACAGCATCTAATGAGGACTTGTTGGTTCTGTCACTATATTTTTACACAGAACTTAACTTATTGCCACAGAAAGTCTCAAGCATTATTTTCCTTAAGCTTGCCAACTCCTTAGATAATTACATTTATTTTTTAATTTGCTAGTTAATTTACTGTAGGGCCATGCTAATGATTGAAAACTTTTTTATAGTAGCTTCTGCATTTGAACCAAAATGGTGTGTAAAACAATTACCTGTAAATAAGGAATCACTTTGCAGAGGGACTGTCCAAAAAACCAGGTCTCAGTGATATCCACGACCAAGGTGGCTGGAAGGCAGGTGATGGTCACAAGCACATCAGCTAGAGAAAGATTGACTATGAAGTAGTTGGTCACTGTCCTCATGTGGTGGTTCTTCCACACTGCCACACAAACTAATTTGGGAAAAAAAAAACAAAAAAACATAACTAAACAAAGAAAAAAGGTACTATTGAGGAAACACTGTCAAGCTAATTAATACTCCTATAAAGTCCATACATATATATAGAAAAGGAAAGATAATTTAAGGCTGTGCTGTATTTTCATTGAATCAGTCCATCTGTGTGACTGCTGAATTTTTGAATACATGCTTAAAATCAGTTCATTTACCTTGCAAGACATTTCCCAGTGGATCAAAAAGTTGTATTTATTTTTACTTGATCTTGAATTGCAAGTCCCAGAAATTAAAGAATGATCCTTCATTCATCTTTCTAGTTCCTCCAAACACAGTATGTAGTGGAACCTCTGGAAATAGTTGCTGAACTGAGACGAATTAGGAGCTAGCAATTTTCAATGAACTTGTAGTGTTTGCCTCATCCATGACCTTGACCCAAATCTGCTCCCAGACTCTGCATTTGGAACTTTTAAAAAACACGAGCCAATGATTATGCACCTCCTACTGTTGCCAAATACTGAGCTAGATGGCTCATAGACTTACATTGTTTAATCTTGACAACAATCTTAAAGGAAGACGTCATTATGTTTTATACATGAGGTAACTGAGAAACAGGAAATTCATGGAAATTGTCTAAGGACACATGGCTCACAAAGTAAAAAACTACATTTATAACTGGGATTTAGCCCCAAGAGGAAAGCTGGTCTTTTCACCACACGAGTTGTTTTCTCCAGTGAAAATGAGAGAGAGAGAATAAAGTACCCATAAATTCTAGATATTCAATCCCCTTTTCTTTCTATTACCCCGATGGCTTCTAAACATCATCCTCAAATGAAACATTCTTTTCAGTACTTTCACAGCCATCCTTCATGAATGCCTTGTAGTATATCCCCAGTTTAAAAGCTGTGCTATCTCACTGACTTGCTGTTTACTGAAAGAACACCCAGTTCCTCCACTCTCTGCCCTCTCCCTGCCTGGTGTATACAAAGGTTACATAATCGCTGGCTCTGGAATTGTATAGAAGTATGTACTGCCACCCACATCTGTTGATGGGTTTGCTTTATTGAAAGTAACAGCATTTGTTTGGGATATCATTAAACTGATAGAGCTGTCACCTGTGCACTCAAATGATGCAGTGATTAGTAACCGTATATAGTGAATAAATAAGAGTACATTTTATTAAATTTAAGTCGCAGGGTGAGGATTTCTTTTTGACAATTATGTACCATTTATTAATGTTTCATATTAAAATCATTTGAAAAATGATTTTACTATTTCTGAAGCTGAAATTGGCTGTCAGCTACCAACAGATGTCAATTTAACAAAAGACCTAGATTTCTGAGGATTTAATTTTGAAAACTTCATATCTTCTAACTCCAGCACATTAATCCCCCCAAAACTCAGGTAAGCCTTAATTAGAGTAAAATATGGTCTTTATTATTTGAAAATGATGTTGTTGAGTGATTTATTTCCCATAATCTCTTCAAATACACATATACATATATTCTCACATACACAAATACACATACACACACACAACACACACACGCAGACACACATACACACACCCCTCTTAGCAGTTGATGAACACATCATCACAGTTTGTTATGAGAAAATCGGCAAAAATATTATATTTCTAGTACTTGGCCAACAAATGCCCAAATGATGCAATCTTAGATCTAGAGAAAAAAAAAAAAAACAAAAAACTACCGAACTTTAAAAAAATGCAATTAGCTTTAATTTGACTTTCAACTCTCCTTATTTTGGATGTGGGGAATGGCAGTGGTGGGAAGACAGTGTTAATGCATTATATCTGACCAATAGTAAAACAAATATGTTCAAAAAATACTTCTTTAGTGCTTACTATGTGCCATGTCCTGTTGTGAGCACTTTACATTATTAATTAGTTTAATCATAATAACACTATGAAGTGAGTAGTATTAATATCCCTGTTTAACAGATGAGAAACTAAGGAGAGGTTAAAGAACATACCTAAGCAAAAATAACAAGTGCTAGAGCTTGAATTTAAGTCTACCACCATGCTATGCCATCCTTATATACTTTTGATTGAAGCAGAAAATGAAGGGGAAGCCACCAACCTCTATTTGACAGAGTTTTACCATAGGATCATAGAATTTTTGAGTTGGGTATCACCCAGTCTAACCTGCCATCTGATGCATGAATAATCACCTCTGCAACATCCCTGATCCCTCCTGTTTGAAAATTTATAATATTAATAGTAGGAAATTCATGCCTGCTGGAGCCCTCCAGTTCATTTGTTGTGGTTTTAACTACTAGCAAGTTTTTGTTCATGTAGGTTGAAATCGCTTCCATTTCATTTCTGCTTCTAGCGCTTGATTCTTTCCTGGAACTTAAGGGATAAACTGTATCTATTTTCCTACATTGTATCTGTATTAGTTTCTTAGGGCTTCTGTAACAAGGTACCATACCCTGAGTGTCTTAAAACAATAGAAATTTATTTTCTCATTGTGCTGGAGTCTAGAAGTCTGAAATCAAGGTATCATCAGAATTATGCTCCCTCTGAAACCTGCAGGGAAATCCTTCTTTGTCTCTTCCTAGCTTCTTGTGGTTTGCCAGTAATCTTTGGTATTCTTTGGTTTACTGCTGTGTAATTCCAACCTCTGCCTTCGTCATCACAAGGCATTCCACTGTGTTTCTACCTTCACATGGCCATCACCTTATAAAGATACCAGTTGTGTTGGATTTGAGGCCCACCCTACTGCAGTTTGACTTCATCTTAACAAATTACATCCGTAATAACTCATTCCCAAATAAGGTTATATTTTGAGGTAATGGGGGTTAGGACTTCAATGTATCTTTTTTAGGAACACAATTCACTCATAACCGTACTCATTCCAATATTTAAAGACCGCGGCTATGCCCATCCCCTTAGCCTTTGCTTTTCTAGGCTAACGATCTTCAGAATCCTCACATGCAACTGTAGGATTTTGCATCCCTCGTCACCCTAGTTTCTTTATTCTGAACACACTTCAGATTATCAGTAATGGCTCTAAATGAGCTGTTACTCCACACGCGTCTCCAGGTGCGATCCACCCAGAGGAGCAAAGAACAGGACGACTGCCTTGGTTACTGTCTCTCTATTAAAGACGGTTTGAGATCTTGTAAGCTTTCTTAACAGCCAAGTCACACTTTTCGGGGTCATAAGTATATCCAGTTACTAGAAATTGGTTCCCATGTGCAGATGTTAGATTAAATCTTTACCTTTGAATCCTAGAGAGAAGAAAAAAAGGAAACAAGAAATCTATGAAGAGCACTATTGGGACAATGGGAGAAAGTTGAATTTGGACTTTATGTTAGATAATATTACTGTGTCATTTTAAAATATCTTAATGTGGTGTTCACATTATGTCCATTCAAATATTTAGAGACTGTGGTTATGCTTTTTCCTAAGGCTTTGATTGTTAGGGATAAACATCACCAAACCCTTCATGTACAACAGCAGGCTTTTGCTTCTCATCACCCTGGTCTCTTTACTGTGACCACCTTCCAGAATACAGAGTACCTGTGTATAAGTGAGCCATCCGGAACTGCACACACACACCCCCAGGTGCATATCTGCTAAAATCTGTGATAAACCAGTGTCCATTTGTTCATTCTCTAATCCGTTCAAAGTCTTAAAGGCACAAAGTAAATGTCATCTTTTCCCGATAACACACCAAATTTATACAATTTGATATTACCTTTTCTTATAAACTCATCATCCTGAAATTTATATTTCCCTGAAGTGTAATATCTTTTCATTTTCTCCCCAATGGCCTATGCTTGAAATCCCCAAAATATCTCATCCCTCTTTCACATTCTATTCATAT